CCCTGTATTTTTTTTTTTTTTTTAAATGCCCTTCCAATTTCTTCTAGTGTTGCTAATGAAAGTTTGCAGCTTTTTATAACACCTTTTTAAATGTTTAATTTTTGATGTGGATACGCTCTACATTTGATGTGAAATTTATCCATTTTGAGCAAATTTTCCGGATGTTTTTCTTTGTTTCAACTTCCACCAACAAGTTACCATTTCGAAGTTTTTTGACGTTTCTTGGATTCAACCTACTTAATATGATTTTCTCTATCAGGAAAGGTGATAACTTATCCAATTTGATTTTCTCTAATGATTTTATAATAATGAATCTTGGAAAATCTGTTTCAATCTTCAAGTCGAAATCTGATAAATATCTTTCGGATTTTTTAAAGTAAGAAGCCGTGATAGGTATATATTTTTCATTAGTCCTGTGCTCCACCACAGAGTCCAACTTGTTTTTGGGAATGAACCAAGGGGGAAACCCATTCACCTTTGCTGAAACGAGGATATAATACCAGTATACTCGTGTCAAGAGCAAGATTCTGAGCCTCTGCCAAATTCTGTTTTTTTATTACACAATCTAACAGGGTCAAAAAGTCTTTTTCCTCTTAACACAATTGACCTTCAGCCCCCGCCTTCTAACACACATAAGATAAAGGGTTGGGGGGGGGCGTTCCACAAGAGCAGATTGAATAGTACATTCGGAATAAAAGAAAGATACGTGTGTTAGGACATGACGGGACAAGCTGATTGATTGGATCGAGCCTATCCAACTGCCAGTAAGGGCCAAAATGGTGTGTAGCAAGCCATTGAACACTGTCGACAGATCAATGACTGCTCAGCCACCAGGATTCTGTCCTAGCGCCTTATGGGTCACGACCCATGGCCAACAGGTGGCCCCATTGAAAGGAGTCTTACCCCTCTGCAGAGGTGCAGTCAACATATTCTACAGCCCCAGCTGACAGAGCCACTTATTTTTGAAAGATTTTTAAAACAATTACATTTTGTTTACAAATCTGTCAAAATGGCAGATATTTATCGATTTTCTCAAAGGAACAAAAAAGCTGCGGTTCAAGTCAATATAATTTCTAGTTGAAATCTACCAGAGTATTTTTCATGCTGGAAATGGTAAAATATAATCATATGTAGAAAAAAGAAGAAATGCTGGTATTTTAACTTTTGTATTTTGTTTTCATTGGTTAATCAGGTTTCATGTGATTTTGACTTGTTAAAATGTTAGTATAATTTATGATGTTCATAATATCTTTTAGGGCTGCTTCATAATCTGTCTTGGTTTTGTTGAAGATGGTTCCACCAGAACAATTACCAGATGACTTGCAGTTTATTATATATATATATATATATATACCTGGCACAGGGCTAGTGGTATCACGGCTATGACCAGCGGCCCGAGTGAAAACATTCAGGTCCCCACGTTAAAACTGACCTTGTGTCACAAACTGACTCAGTGGGGGGTAAATATATTATATTTATATATATATATATATATATATATATATATATATAATTTTCTTAGTTTGTATGATTTGGAAATCAGCTTTTATAACTATATCAGGTCCCATATTTTTAAAGTATTTTATGATTAGTTTTCTGGTTTTGTTTGTTACAGCTTAAGATTAGGAGACCGTCGTCCCTGTAGAGGCCTTTATTACTTGTATCGATTATTTTAGTTTATGAAGTAAATAAATGCCTATAAGCTTACAGGTTTCTGTGCCAAAGATACCCAACGTAATGTCAAGTTTTTTTGTTTTTTTTTATCCACGTGTCTTTGTTGTCAAATGATAGTGATTCTCAAGAGAGAATAAGTATATATTTTAAGCGTAGCTAAAATGTGGCATATGGCCGAAAGTATGGGTACCCAATGAGGATCGAATTCACTATTCAGTTGTAATTGTTTTATCAAGGCAAGCTTGCTAACCATTACACCACGCCAAGGTGCGTGGGATATTATATTATATTATATTATATTATATTATATATACTAGCAGTAGAACCCGGGGATGTAACAGTAAGAGAGATCAAGTATCGACCATCATAAAGACTGAAAAATAAAATTGACAAAGATTGTTTAAGGTTGACGGACACGCATGTCTTAGTTTCGTTTTGTTAACGAATTGGTTAAACCCGAACTCAAACAAAATCATTGTTTTCAATCGTTATGAGTGTACCGATTGAATAAAATTTTATTATAAACAATTGTCATGTAAATGGAATTTTTTAAAGCATTCTGAATGTAAAAATAAAAAAGTGTGCAAGACAATGCAAAAAAAGTGATGTTTTGTTGAAATCGGTTGAAAAATGTTGAAATCCGATCCCATATATAAACGAACAACCACACAGACAACCAACCTGGGTTTTATAATAAGTAAAACTCGATACGAGTTGTCTTCCTTTCATTAATGCTTCTTAATCGTGTTTTCAAATTGATTTCATGCAAAAACAATTGTGTTTTTTTTTCCAATTTTTGGCACTGTCAGAACCACCGCAAGGTAATTTTACACAGTCCTGTGAAGTTTTGTTGTAATCGGTTGAAAAATGTAGGAAATCCGATCCAATATATAAACGTACAGACACACACAACCTGGGTTTTATGATAATTATGATTATATTATATATTATATTAAGCTATGGAGATTGTCTTATCTTGCATGTTTAGTCTTTTAGTGTAAGAAAAAACTGATTTCGTGATGCAATTTATTCGGTAGTCTAGATTTAATGTTTGGGCGATTATTTTTAGCTTCCTACATTAATACTGTATTCTGTATGTTCAAGTTACATTGTCCTCGATTAGTTTGGGCGTTTAGTTCGTATAAGTTTCTAGTTTTGTCAGCTGCGATAAATACATTATTGAATACTTTATTTTAGTTAAATCTCCTAGTTTTTTTTTTTTTTCTTTCTGGGAGGCATCTAATTGTTTATGTAATTTCATGTGAGTTTTTTTTTATCCAACACACAGCCTAAATGCATTTAAACATGAAAGTGCCGCCACTCGGAACTGATCTCAATCTACACATGAACAAGCTATTGTGGATGTTGTTGCTACATCATGCTGGGTAGGGTAAAAAACAAGTATCTATTTTATAAGTGCTTAACAGCACCCTCTAACGCCTGGCAAAGCTATGTAGGTACAATCCAGTTTGAAAGTACCAATTATACTTACAATGAGGTGTAGGGGAATTTATTTCTTTATCTATATTCAATTACTCACAGGTTTTTAAAACCTCAACATTTAAAATGGCCCTGAACAGAATTAAGTAGTTCTTTCTGTGAATTTATGTTATTACCTTTACATTCAGCAAAGGAACTTTTTTGGGGAGGGGAGTCTGGTGACATATCGGGGGGGTGTCTGGGGACATATCGGGGGTGATTGCAAAGCTCCAGAATATACCTGACCACCTGGCATGTTTTACCTTTTCAAGAGACCGATCAGATTGAAAAATAGAACATTACTACCATATCTGAGCTGGACGTGGCCAACCCCCATTTTCCAGCATGAGCAGAGCTCAAAAATTAAAGTGTTTATTTTCGACCATACAGCCTCTTTCTAGAGGCAAGGTTGCAAGCCTATCACAGTTTCTATAGTAAATATTCAGATACATTTTTAAAAATCAGTTCTGACCTTTACTGCAAAGACCCGATGTGCTACGCCAACAATGTCCAATCACCCTACCATTCTCTTCCTATCCCATTTGCAAGATGGTCCCACTCAGATTCAAGGGGTACTTTGTAGAAGAAACACCTTTGTGAATGCCTTCCTCAAACACTACAGTTTTAACTTATGTAAATCCAGGGTCAATCGCTATCCTCTAGATCCTTAATCTTCCCTTCCTACATCCATAGCGCACTCTTCATTCAGTAACCCTCTACCTTGAGTGGCTCTTGAGCCTCGTATTGAGCGAATAAAAGTATGAAACTTGTAATTTGATTAAGAAATTGATAGGAAGTATGTTAGATTTTTTTTTACATATTAGTATATGTAATAAAGATTAGTAATATTAGTAGCACTAACCAGAATATTCAACTGTCTACAAAACTTCAGGATTTCATATTTAAAATCAAATGTCAAGCCCGGCAAAGGCGCGCAAGAGCAGCTTTGATATTTACGAAGTCGAGTTTGGTATATAACAAAGGAAAACAAAGGCGGAAGATGGCGTTATGCCAGTCTTCAGAATAGAGAGGGCCTATCCGCCTACAGCGTTTTAAATACTGGCTTGTACTTGGGCCAGAACAGTCTTCAGGGTACTAGTGGTGGAGTACAGAATTAGTTAAGCCATGAGACCAACACATGAGAAGTGGTCTTTCAATTTCAAACAACACTGGCGTCTTCATAAATGAAAGGTTTATAAATAGACTCCCTTGAATAGACAAGAGAGAGTGGAGGGCGGGGGGGAAAATCACCAAGCAAGCGTTTTTGCTTTTTCGTTAAAACAAAAAAAAAAAATTTAAGTAACAAGAAAAATTTATGGTGTAATTAAAAACAAAATCGAAAGAAAAAAGAAATTGTTTTAAAAATTTCTATCAGCCATGCTGTGAAGTCTTCGTAATTTCAGAAGAGTGGCCTTGTAAAGGGGGAGGAGAAAAAATGCCCCCCCTCTCTTCATTAGCTGAAACTTATGGTTAAAAGGGCGTATTTTAATTTATAACCTTAACAAATCTGTTATAAAACGCTGCACAATATTGCTGCCTAAAAAAAAAAAAAAAGGCATCCCAATTGCTTATATAAATTTAGAAACGAACATCAGGCTAAATATCAACTTTCGAAATTTGAAAATTATGAACGCAAAAAATTCAGTCTTAAAGATACACTGACCAGGTCAGAAAAAATCGTCTGGAAATATTAAACATGCAACGTTCCGCCATTTTGAAATTTTTTAAATGCAAACATGATGTCGACAAAGTTAACCCCTATCCCTTTTTTACGCGAAAAAGGCTCTCCCGACGAAAATTGGAGAACATTTATCACGTACTCTGAAGCCATAACGAATGGTGGATTTTTAAATAACTGGAAAAGGAAGCGTTTCTTCCAGCTGATGTAAAGGAAGGTAGTCATACTTGTAAGATTCCGTATCAAAAACGTCATTGTCCGAATTCGGGAAATACGAAGTCTCGTGTTCGTCGCTTTTAAAGTCACCGTGAATGGAAAATCTTGTAGATAAAGAACTCCTACGAAACTTTAAGCCATTGGACACTGAAGCTTTTGGATTATCGATAATTCTAGACTCCGATTCATCAGCGTTAAGAGAAGCTGAACAATAACCAGTATTGGAAATTTTCGAGCAGCTTGTCAAGTTCATCGCGAACCATGGTATTCGGTTCTGTGACTCCGACACTAATGAATTATTGTCGGTCGGAATTTGTTTTAAGGAAACGTTTGTATTTTGGTTAGTCTGAGAAGCAGGATCACTCAGACTTAATGTTTTTTCGAAACTTGGCCGAGGGAAAATGTCGCTCGATGTATAATGAGCCAGATTTGATGGATATTGAAAGCGTGAACAATCCGAGAAGGCAGTGGTTGCTGACTCTCCAGGAAGAGTTTGGTTTTTGCTTTTAGAACAGGCTGCAAGATCAGGGAACTTAGTTGCGTTTGTGAAGGTCGTGGTCTCTTCGGCTACGTTCAAAAGATTTCTAGAAGCACATGGGGGACATTTTTCTTTCATTTGCGAACCTTCCCTTTTTGGCGTAGAGGCAAAATACCGAGCTAGTGTTTCCAGTGCTCCCAGCTCTGGTTTAGATTTTAAGCTGCGGCAGCGAGACATGCTTTTATTAAAACTACCGTATCTGAAGTCAAGAACCGATCCACAAGCAGCTTTCTGGTTCGAGCTGCCATGACTGGCGAGACCTTCAGTCTTCAGCTTAGAAATATCAGCCCAGTTATTGAGAATAGCAGCCGCTTTAAGACGCCGCCTCACACGACAGTCGTCAGAAAGTTGGCCATTTTCATCCTCAATCTTAAGTTTTTCGTGACCGATGTCAAGCGGTCGTCTTGAGTTTGAATTAGTTTCAGTGACAGTGTCGTGTGCCGCATTTTTCGTAATCGGGTGAACATTTTGAGATTTTGGCACCAGGCCTTCAGAGAGCGTACTGTATCCTGGCAAGGGTTGAACTATCTCATTAGCATCTGGTGTCAGGGATTCCAGCTGATGCGCAGGAAGGGGACATGAAACGGAGTGCAAATTTGAGAAATTAAGTTCGCCAGTGTTCTCGTATTTGAAAGGAGTTATTCCATGTGCCTCGGTGCGTTTTTCATCACTTGAAGGCATGAATTGGAATTTTACTTTGTCGGCAACGGCTTTCCTAGACGAGTTTGCAGTGTTTAGACTTCTAGAACAGTCTTTATAAAGATCACTAGATTGAAGAATTTCCGAAGTGCGGCTTCCCGTCTTAGCTCTATGAAGAGAGCTGGTGTTCTGTTGAAGGGTTTGTTTCGAGGAGCTGAACGCGGGTTCGAATCCGAGATCTCGTTTCGAGAGAGGTTCTCTGGTGTTGCAGATTTTATCTACTGACAATTCTTTACTCAGTTGGATATTTCCAGTTTCAATCAGATCAGCGGTCGATGTACCTACGTCACGCCTCAAAATACTTTTTCCAGTTGACGTGTCAGAGTTCCGAGAGGAACATTTAAGGATGCGATGCTCTTGCCAAAAATGCTCCGGCTTTGAGAGACGCCCATGACAGAAACAATGACACCCAAGACAGTCGTTTGAAGGCGGAGTTTGTTTATCGTCAGGAGTATTTATGCAGTAAGTGGCGTTAGAGTTTCCATGTGTAACTCGCGGACAAACAGGTGAATATGACCGCGACTTCCAACAGAATGTGGAGTTAGCTGAGCACAAGTGATTATTAAAGCCTAAGTAATCTAACTGGCATGTACAGAGGACATCTCGTTTCTTTAGAGTTAACGGGAAAGAGGTACAGCCAAACCGATGACAATGAAACGACCGCTGGCCGCGTGTGTGCCGGCGAGACGTGCCGCTATCTAGACGACGCCTACTGGATTTTTTGCGGAAGGAGTCAGCATCTTCGTGCCAGCTGGTTTTAAAGGGGCAGTTTCGGTGTAGTAGTCTTTCTGGTGACTCTGGGCTATTCTCGGTATTCAGATTAGCCTTACCGCCATCAGTGGACGATAGACGCGACCCTTGTGAATAGAAACTCCTTCGAAAATGTTTGGCCGGATAGACGTTCCAGTGCGTGCATCTGCATGACGTGGGGGTCTGATAGCCGCTGGTGCTTAGAGCTGAACAGCAAGGACTGTTTGAATGCGAAAGTGTCGTGAAGGGAGTTGAGGTATCATCGCTGTTCAGCTCGTGACAATCTAGATTAACGGGTACAGATAAGCGTCTCCCGTCGCGCTCACCCGGATTGGATTCATTGCCGAGCCTCCTGAATATTTGCTCTGCTTTACCGAAGTGTCTTCCATTTAGAAGACTGGATATCGAGACGGGAACTTCCGGTTCATGTTGATCCGAATGTTCACGGAGTTTAAGTCGAAGAGCTTGTGTACTTAGACCAAGTTTCTCGCTTTTCGCGGAACTGCTCTTTGGGCAGTCTTCTGAAGTCAGTGCCTCCGTACCAGCATTACGGTTGCGTGTCTGCCCGAATATACGCTCTTTAAGAAGTTTCCTTGTCCACCCAAATAGGTTCGGTTTCTTTACCTTTTCTGCTGGGAGATTGTTCTTGCGCCTACTAGCCGGGGATATAATCCATTTACAGTTTTCCCAAAACCGAAGTATCTTAGACGTAAAGGTTTCTTCATTATCAGAAACAGCTTTCTTTTTATCCGCGGTCATTAAATTATATTTGTAAGTGAAATCGTCAAGTTTTTTGACAGGCATTTTTTTTTTTAAATAAATACGCCGTGGAAGATTCATTACACGCTCATTTTACACGAAAAAAATACGTCAACAAACCTTGATATTTAACAGTAGAAACCCAATAATATATGCAAATAAAGATGACAATATGATCCAATCATATTTATTTGTTTATTTTAATATTATTATTTACGGCGGTATGCTAAAAGGTCACAGACGAACTTACCAAACTAAGGGGTGTTTTGAACTAGAAATCTCAGTTCTCTGGTGGATGCGGGGTGTGTTTTTTGCAATTGTTGTTGTGTCTAAATGAGTGTGTTGCTGGTCGAATGATTGATTGGTTTTTTTATTTATCCAATCCCGCATTAATTTCGTCCACTTAACAGCGGTTAAGGATTATGCTTGTTTTTTTGTTTTTTTTAATACTAACACAATTTTGTTTAGTTTTTGTACATATAGCATTATTCCCATTGTAAATATTCATTGAGGAGGAGGGTTTCATTTTTAAATTTTTTGTTATTTTATCCACCCCCTCCCCAGATAAATTGTACATATGGGGAGTCGTTAGTACTTCATCGAGACTTTGAGGTATTATGGCGGTTGTAGTAAGAATGGTATGTAAGCAAATATATGGATATAGATCCGACAGTATGAAGAAAAATATACGGAAAAACAGACAAAAATCCTAATATGTAATTATGCTGTTTTAATGTTAATATAATGTCAACGTCGGACGTTTCGGTCTAATAGACCATCTTCAGGACATATTCATAAAACATAATTAACATTAGACTATATTCAATTCAACATGAAAAAGACGATGGACATAAGAGTAAGACTAATCCAAACAGATAACTGGTAAGAATGGTATGTAAGAATGTGGTATTTTGGTGCAAGCAATATAGTATAGTTTGAGTCAGTGATTGTGGTTAGTTAAGTTTTGGTCTTGTGCCATATATTTTGTATTTATATAAAAATAAATATCATTAAGGGGTGTTTTAAATGCCGTACCACCGTTTACTAAGGCTGGGTACTGTGTCCTTTTGCTTACTAGGCGTTATACTAGTCGTGATATAGACGACGCGACAGAATGGATTCTATGGAGACGAGAAGTTTACCTCTTCCCAATTGATCTTGTTCTTTAAACATCAGCTTAAAGTCAAGATTAGGACGGAAAGGAAACGAATTCCTTCATCAGAATTTGGCAAAAGGTGGGAGAGTCTTACCCGTCTTTGTCGAGTAAAAGGAGCTGACTGGGAGTGTTATTTTGATGCCGGTTAGGCGTTAGGATATTGAAAATTCTGGAGGGGACATTGGCAACCCCACCCAAAATAGCGTAGTTTAGGCTTGTTTTTACTTTTAGTTTTTTTTTTCCTTCAGAGTTAATTTAGCTCGAGGATGTATGCTGATTGTCCCCTCTTATTTTTTTTTTGTCTCCACTTTCTTTAGTTTAATTCACCCCACTCCCCCGTTAGATAACCAGAGATGTCAGTTCTCTGGTGGATGCGGGATGCCTTTCGTTTTTCGAGTATGTTTCTCGTATTTGCTGTTGTGTCTGGATGAGTGTGTGTTTTGAGTGAGTACTTGGTCGAAAGATTGTTTGAATTATCAAAGTCCTGCTTTAATTTCGTCAAGTTAACTGATGTTTCTTTTGCAACTAAGGATTGGGGGAGTTTATTAATAACACTATTTTGTTTTGTTTCTTGTAAATAGATCTTGGTTTCATTGTAAATATTCATTGAGGTTTTTAAAAAAATTAAATTATTTTCTTCCCCATCACCACAGGCAAATTGTACATATGGGGACTAGTTAGGACTTCATAGAGTCTCTGAAGTATTATGGTGGCTGTGATAAGAATGTTAAGTAAGAACGTGTTGTTTTAGTGTTAGGATTATTATGGTATGTCTGGGTCAGCGATTGTGGCTAGCTAAGTTTAATTATAAGACGGATGAAGACTAACCTTCAACATCCCCACTTTTGGCCTTGTGCCATTTTTTTTTTTGTAATCCTTACAAAAATAGATATCATTAAGGGCTGTTTTATTAGCCCCCCCCCCCCGCAAAGATGCGGTACTTTGGTACATGTTCAGATTGAATGGAGAGGGATGAGTTCTTGTTGCGGTTGAATAAGTTGTGAATCGGAGTGATTAGGCGTAGGATAGACAATGTTGACCAGCCTTTTTCCATCTCCTCTATCCGGTCTAATACGGCGTGCTTTGACCGCACGTCTGCGAAAAGCTTCACAACCAAGCAAGGTTCTATTTGTCTTGATTGTGAAGCTCTTCGTAGCCGAGCGGTCATCGCACACCAGATTATACAATGGTTTATCATGCAAAGAGCGACACAGGTTCAAATCCTGTTGGGGGTGGTTAATAACTTATCTCGAATGTGCAGGCCAGTAGACGAAATATAAATACTGTTTAAAATAAACGGAACGTCAGCTCAAATACGGGTATCCACTAAAAATAACGCTTAATATATATATATATATATATATATATATATATATATAACCCCCTGGTCAAAATCTTAAGACCAGATACAAAAGGGTTAAAAAATGTATAAAATGCTGTTACTTTAATCAAAATATATTTGCGAAACATTTACATTTAACCAAAAAAATCCTTTTTTCAATGTTATTAATCAGTTAAAAACTTAAAATGTTCACTTGTTTATTGATAAACTACATTTTCTAATTAAATGTAAATGTTTCGCAAATATATTTTTATATTTTTTTTAAACCCTTTTGTATCTGGTCTTAAGATTTTGGACCAGAGGTGTATATATATATATATATATATATATATATATATATATATATATATATATATATATATATATATAAGTTAAAGAACTTGGTAATCCGTATGGGTAATCCCAAGGAGGATGAAATCCTGAGAGTTCAATGTAAATCCAGAGCTAATATTTAAAAGAAAAACAGACCACTTTAAGGTTCCATTATAATACTTATTTCACCGGAGTCCTTTTTTAAAGGACGCCGGATCATCAGATAAAGCTTCTAAAAAATGAAATGAAACGAAAAATGAAATGAAAATTGATGGGTAGTGTAAGTTTTTGTAATTTAACAGAGAGTGTAAAAGGAAGAAAGAGACATGGTAGAGTATAGGGAGGGATTAATTTCATAATCCCTCCCTATACTCTACCATGTCTCTTGAGAAAGTGACTGAAGTCGGGATGCCAAATAAGGATCGATTACATTGCAGATCCTTCTTTGGATTTTGTCAAGAACCTACAGATGAATAGCAGGAGCACTAGACCAGATATGACAACATTATTCAATGCACGGACGAATGGTAGATTTGTAAATGTGCAAGATGGGCTTTGGCGAGAAAAATCTTTTGGCACGACACAGTGATCCAACTTTCCTTGCAGTAGATGCAGCTATTGATTCGATGTAGTCGTTCCACTTCAAGTCAACTGAAAACGTGAGGCTAAGAAGCCTCGGTGTATTGCTCTCCAGGAGTCTAGCATCAACCATGCTGATGGCGGAGAAGAAAGTTTCTCTATAGTGGTTAAATGAGAAGAGATTTCGTTTTGGAGGCATTTAAATTTACAAGCCATTTCCTACCCCAGTTAATCACTGACTGGAGGTCCTTTTCAAGAGCAGCAGTCAGGTTAACTTTGTCAGCTCTGACGGATTTGCTATTGATACAGGAGTAAATGGTAATGTCATCTGCATAAATGACTACTCGGGAAGTGATGATATCAAGAAGCGTAGGGCCCAGGATAGAGCCTTGGGAGACACCCGCGTTCGTGTGAAAGCATCTGGAAGCGAGTCCGTTCAAAACTATCTTCATTTCACGATTTCATAGGAACGATTGGATTAGATCAAACAACCGTCCTGTAATACCGTAGCCCCGAAGTTTACGTAGAAGATCAGCGTGACAAACCTTGTCAAGCGCCTTCGAAATATCTACAACCCCAGATCTAGTTTCGCCGTTATTATCAAGAGCTTAATATACATATTCAGTGATGGCCGTAAGCACATCAGCGGTAGGCCTGTCAGAACGGAAGCCATATTGCTTTTCAGAAAGGAGGCCGTGAAAGGTAAGATGCTTAACCACTTCAGCATTGATTAAAGCTTCGAATACATTGCCAAAAAGCGGTACAAGGGTGATAGTTAGAGGGGTCAGAGGGTTCTCCAGAGTTCTTAAAAACAGGAACTACAGAGGAGGACTTCCAACAAACTGGAAAGCAACGAGGCAATAGTTGTAGAGTTTTAAGATAATTGGAGCCAGCTCGGGAGCACTTTTCTTTAGGACGACGGCTAGGATCCCCTCACCTCCGCTTGCCTTATCGGAGTCTAATTTAGAAATTATATATATATATATATATATATATATATATATATATATATATATATAATGTAAAATTTCTCAGAATGAATCTATAGAAAAAGACAATATGTATAAAGGAAAAGAGACAATAGGAAAACTGTATGTAGTTTTAACCGACGCATTTCGTCCACTGCGGACTTTATTTTTTAAAGCAAATCGTTTTTGTCTTGAAAAGTCCAGAACCCTGTTAAAGGGGTTATGGTGAAATAGCTTATTACATGGAATCTTAACGTGGTCTGTCTTTATTCAAACATATCTGCTCTGAATTTTACATCGAGCTCTCTGGATATCATCCTCCTCAGGTCTACCCATACGGATTAATCTAAATTTGCATAAACTATATATATATATATATATATTTTATATATATATATATATATATATATATATATATATATATATATATATATATATATATATATATAAACAGAAGAATTAAAACTAAGATTAATAAAAAAAAAATCACCATGAAGAGGTGAATCGAAACAATAACAACAATAAAGAAAATGCCCCTTCGGGGTGATCCTGACTCTCCACAACTTCCTAATCCTCTTAACAATGTTTCTCCCTTTGCCAAGCCTGCTGTCCATTTACACGAGTTTGCCCGGCAGTGGCCCGCTGCCTTCTCTCTTGCTCTCAATATGCCCTGTGAGGATTAAGTTTGCCAAGCTGTCCTTCCTAATTATGGTGTTTTCTAAGCGTAGCCAAGGACGAAAGTGTGGGGCACACAGTGAGGATCGTATTCACTACTCAGTCGTAATTGTTCTAGCGAAACTTTTACACACGTCGGAATGCACAACTCTCTTTCTTCATTATGTGTCTATGAAATTTCAGCTCTCTTTCTGGTTATGAGTATAAGTGTTCTTTTTGTTGCCATTTTCTTTAAGACTTCCTCGTTGCTTACTCACTATGTCTTATCTTTCTTGTCTCGGGTGTATCAATTTCTCCAAGCCCCCTTTCTCATTATGTGTCCATGAACTTTCAGCTCTTTCTGATTGTGTGTGTCATTTTTTGTTACCGACCCGTGTAATTTTTGCTACTTTTAGCGACTGAAATATTTCCCAATTTTTAACGATTATTGCGACCCAGGCAGTAAAATATACACAATTTATAGATTTTATAGTGAGATGTTTTCCCGCTAATTTAGAGTTAGATAGGAATTCCGCTCGAATATTGTCCCTTTCTCCAAAACACTTCCTTTACACAACACAGTCTTAACAGCAGACTCCAAAATACCGCATTTACTCATTTGCAACTCATCCCATCTGTACGATTTCGTTGGGCTGGGGTTGGAGGATGGAAAGAATAACAATATTTAAAAATGTATCCCCAATATGCATAGACATACGGCTATATGTTGAAACCGCGGATCCGTTCGATCTTCAAAGTGAAGCAACGTCGTCGACCTTGGTAGGTATCTAAATGGATGACCGCTTGGGAATATCACCTGCTGTAGAATTAGATGTTCGGGTGGTCTAAAGGGCTTACGGCCATATCACGCTGAAACACCGGTGTCAGTACGTTCACCGAAGTTAAGCAACGTCGTGTCAGGTCAGTATCGAGATGGGTTACCGCTTGGGAATACCAGATGCTGTAAGCTTGGATGTGCGGTTGGTCTAAAGGGGATACGGCCACATCACGTTGAAGCACCGGTTTACGTACTATCACCGAAGTTAAGCAACGTCGAGCCAGGTCAGTACCGAGACCGCTGTCCGTTTGGGAATGGCAGATGCGGTAAGCTTGGACCTGCGGTTGGTCTAAAGGTCATACGGCCATATCACGCTGAAACACCGGTGTCCGTACGCTCACCAAAGTTAAGCAACGTCGTGTCAGGTCAGTATCGAGATGGGTTACCGCTTGGGAATACCAGGTGCTGTAAGCTTGGATGTGCGGTTGGTCTAAAGGGCATACGGCCACATCACGTTGAAGCACCGGTTTCCGTACTATCACCGAAGTTAAGCAACGTCGAGCCAAGTCAGTACCGAGACCGCTGCCCGTTTGGGAATGGCAGGTGTGGTAAGCTTGGACCTGCGGTTGGTCTAAAGGTCATACGGCCACATCACGTTGAAACACCGGTGTCCGTACTATTCACCGAAGTTAAGCAACGTCGATTCTGGTCAGTACCGAAACCGCTGCCCGTTTGGGAATGGCAGGTGCGGTAAGCTTGGATGTGCGGTTGGTCTAAAGCGCATACGGCCATATCACGTTGAAACACCGGTGTCCGTATGATCACCGAAGTTAAGCAACGTCGATTCTGGTCATTGCCTAAATGGGTGACTGCTTGGGAATACGTGCTGTAAACTTGGATGTGCGGGTGGTCTAAAGGGCACGCGGCCATATCACGTTGAAGCACCGGTTCCCGTACGATCACCGAAGTTAAGCAACGTCAAGCCAGGTCAGTACCTAGATCGCTGCCCGCTTTGTAATGCCAGAAGCTGTAAACGGTGGTGTAATGGATAACGGAACGGAAGTGTTAATCGGAGAGCCAACTTTCAGTTCCAATTGGGCTCGTTATATTCACTTACGCGCAAATCCCCTTGGGAAAGGTACGAATCCACCACTTCTCTCCCCACTCCAGCTATGAGCTAATTAGTTAAGACATATCACTACATAATTATTATCTCCTCCATCTCCGCTCCCCACCCAAATTCTTAGAATCTAAAAATATTTTATGGCTTTAAATAACCTGCAAACGGTTGACAAGCCGTAAAAACGAATCAATCAATTTAATAATTATGTATAACATACTTACAAAACCAAATAAAACATCTTTTAGAACCTCCTCCAATTCTAATCGTAGCAGAAGCAAGAGTTAAGTAGACGAAAGAAAGCGGGAGACTTAAAAATATAAAATAAAATAATCACACTTTAGCTCATTTAAATTGACCTTGTGTCACATTCGATAGCGACGTGGGCGCAGTAAAAAAAAAATACATAAGCAATAACTTTGGCGAGCATTCACTCATCGAAACAATAACAATTACGAACAGCCGAAAGACAAGTTAGTTTGGTATATACCTACACCCCCTTGAACATATAATAGACTTTATGATTATTTATTATACAAAAGCTTCGCAATGTAATTCTTTATTTTTTAAGGAAAAAACAGAAAAAAAACAAAAGAAAAAAAAAACGAACTAAAACATGGCGTCAGGCAAATCTGTTAGAACGTACTCTAAAATTAACTGGTAAGGAAGTTTGATTTTTTTTTTTTTATGAATCTTTGTGGACTATATACATTCTGCCAATTCATTTGAATTGGCACTGGTCAAAGAAAAGAAAAAAAACTATTTTTAAAGGCTCTCACGCAAAACGCAACTTATGTATTTAAATTTCTTAAATAGTTTATTTTCATAGATCAGATTCTTTTCTTTTTTCTTCGAAGTCTAAAAAAAGGAAAATACCTCAGCGTATCTAAAACGAAACAAAAACTATTTTCGTTCACGCTTTGTGCTTCTATAATTCTTCCAACTACACAAATAATTGAAGTGTAACTCTATTGATATTTTGTTAAATCTCTTTATTCATTAAAATCTGGAAAGTCCTAACTTGAAAATGACTTCCCAAATGCGTACAAGAACAGTAGCACCTCACCAGTTTCTGCCTAGGAGGCGCTCTTTAGGACAAGAACTGCGTCTGATCGCAAACCGATCCGGTGAGCCAAGTGCTGGTCTTCCACTAAGCCCAGTCATCCACAAAAAACGTCCGGCCAGCGTAGACAACAGCCAATTAGACAAGTGTCCACGAAGTCTAAACGATCTGTGTTCCAGCCCGCAAAAGACTCCTAATTTACCCAAGCATAAAGCGGAAATAAGCAGACGTCGTTCTGTACCGAACAAGACTGGTTCTCTCTTCCTTCGTCGAATGACTTCGAACGGCGGACTCGAGAACATCCTCTTGCCTGGTGAAGGTGAACTGAAGCCTTACGATCTCCTTGCTCAGGCTTTATCTCCTCTTGCCGCTATGAGTCCCGGCTCCATAACAAGAGCTCGGATATTTACCGCTCCTAAAACCATAGCTGGGATCCCGGGTCTAGAATGCCAAAGTAGCCTGCGAACGAACATAAGCTCGCCGATGCCAAAATACACGACTACCCACACAGACCGGCTTCATCCAATCGCAACCAATCAACCGATTCCGGTTCGTCTGTCCGTGTCTCCGGTCGCGTTCCGAGATCAAACCTTCAACGCTTTCGGTGGGCGAGCTGGATTCTCATCTACTACTCCAAAAGGGATGTCTACCTCACCAACAGATGCCGCGCGAAGTCAGCCTGCTCCGGGAAGCTTCTCCCGCAGTCCAAAACTACCTACTATACCTCAAAGTATACCGGCAGCAACACAATTTTTCCCCACCTTTGGCTCTTATTTACCTACAACCGGAACAGCTCCTGGTTACTACTTTCCTATTCTTAACGGCACCTCTGGTACTTACTATCCGCACATGGGTAACCTTGTGGGCTCATTATATCCAGCACCTCTTTCAAACTGTAGGCAATATCATCAGGTTCTTGGCGCAAACGGCAGTTCGCTTGGCTCGTACTATGCAGCTTCAAACGAAGGCTTAATGCAAGCCGGGACTTACGTTGGTTCTTTGGTATCAAACAGCATATCTCCTGGTTTACCAACACAAAACAATCAGTTTTACTATCCAGTTCCTGTGATTAATTCTAGTAACTTCCAATATATTACCACTTCCGGTCCTAATATGTACTCCCCAAATCCTAACGATCAAAATTCGTGGAGTTACGTTAACCGTATGACCTCTCCAAACCAAATAGTTGATAGTCGCCATAGCCAAGGTACAATCAATTTAAACGCTATACCTTCTGGGGATTCCATTCAGTGCCTACAAGCCGAAGGAGCAGGTCTGTCACCGTCTCGACTTGGTCCGCTCGTCTACCAAACGTCTGGTCTAACTATACCTACTGACAATAACGGCGTGCTTTACCCTGTTAACTCCGGTCAGTCGAAATACCAAACTAACGGTGAAGTCTTAAACGTGATTAATCAGTCAGAGCCTTTGCCTTCTCCAAAGCCCCGTAACGGAAGTCAAATGCTCCCATTCCTTTCTAACATGAGACCATCGCCGAGAAAGAAAATGGCCGCTTTGATTTCCCAGGCTACTGCAAGACCCGGTATTAACCAGACCGAAAATCAATGGGTTTCTAATTCTCTGTCTCACTGGCAAAGGCCTTTACATTAAAAAAAAAAGTCTTTATTTTTTTAACGAAGAATCTCTTGATTTCAATCATTTAGTAAAAAGTTTCAGATCTTCGTTCGTCGCCATTTTAATCTTTCAATTTGTTCAGGTCTTTGTTACTCCATGTTAATTCCTTCCGTCCGTACACAAGAATATTTTAATGAACTCGTTTCGATAGATTATTTAATCTTTTTTTATACTACTGTAAAGACTTTGATTAAAAAATATATATATATATTCAATTGAGAATATTTTAAATTAATCGTTTTTATGTATATGACGTTCTTAACGTGCAAATTATAAATGAATAAATATATTCGTTGTCAGTCTTTTAAAAATTTCACTTCTGAAAAGCAGTCTTCATTTGTTTATCATTTTTTTTTTTTTTTTAACAAAACGCTTGTTTTTCTTCCAAGTCCCGAACTAAATTACTAAAACTAATTTCAAGCTTTCAAAATTTTAGACGAGATGTTATCTTTCGGGCATATTCTCTTGTTCTTACAACATATAATTCGCTGTTTTTAAAAAAAAAAAAAAAATTCTGTGCAGAAAAGGGGATCTGCTGAGCCGAGTTCAAATTCCGGCCTAGTTTTGAGCATTGGGAATCTTTTTTGTTCTAAATAGGAGTGCGCTGTCTCTCCTTGGATGGTAAACATTTTAGAAATTCAGAATTGAATTCAAAATCGGACAAGGCGTTGGGGGGAAACAATTCATCCATCCGGATCGACTACCACGTGTCGTGGTCTTCTGTTAGTAAAAGTCGCGAGACTGGTCCGTCACCGGCTTTCTAAGCCTGTCACGTAGCTTATAGCACTTGGTATTCTCCAGTGGTCACCCATCTGAGTAAGCTTGATGCAAACATCTCTTGCCCTTCCCCGAATCTATCCTAACTCTAGTCTATTACATCTCAATTTTTCTTGAGGTAGTATTCATATAAATCTCAAATTTTATTGTAACCTAATAACGGATCGTATGCAATACAGGTGAACAATTCAACTAGAATTAAAAAAAAAAAAAAAAAAATGCATCTAAACACAAATTAGACCTGTCATAGACAATTCCATCTGAAATGTTTGAGCAATTTTTTATCAACGTGACTTTTTTTTTTTTATAAACAAATTTTGAATGTTAACCCCTTCAACGTTATGGGCTAAAAATCCAGAATCTGAAAATTTATCCTTTAATAGTCAGTTGTGCTTATTTTAATAATTAAACTTTAATTTGTAACGTAAGATAGCGAGGGTTACAAAGCAATGTCCGCCCCCACCCCCACTATCAAGCTAGGGATCCTTCCCACAGTCGGGTGTAGTACGCATCGACTCAGCATCTGAATACTCAACGTTGATTAAATTTAGTGATCGTGCCAGAATCTGTTTCAACGAAAACTCCTTCCTACTCTTTGAACCACAACCTTGTGCCACACCAACTTTTGTTATTTGCCTCACACCAGTCTTAGAGCCGGTAGGGTCGCTGAACAGTGAACACCTATCCACGAGATCAAAATGCGACTTCCGTTTATTTTGGAAGCGTGGCGTATTTCCAGAGTGCGTATAGTTCTATCAGGTTTTTAACTGCAAACATTAGGCCCTAGGGTGTCCATTTGAACCCCACTCCCTACTCATTTCTTTGAGTGAAACGAGAAGGCGCTGACTGAGAGGAGGTTGTAAATGCTGGTTGTGTTGAAAAGATTAATGTGGCTGCTTGTTGAAGAGCATTTATACATTTTTTTAAATCAAGGAAAAAACAATGGAAAACCGATTTGTTTCAACGATAAAAATAAAATATATATTAAAATCAACAAATACAAAACAATCTTTAATGTGTGAATAAGGAGAAGTAGTTTCCCTTTATCTGTTAGTTGAATAAGGCAAAAATGTAATAAAGCAAGTTTTCTGAATAGAATGTTCAAAGTTCTGTATTGGAAATAAATTGTTGTATTCAGAAGAACATACAGTAAATTCAATTATGTTATTGTACAACTAACAGTGCTGTTGCAACTTGGCTTGTTCACAGAACTGATGATGAATGTAATTCGTTCTGTGTCTGTGTGTGCGCAGTGAGTCAGTAGAATGAATAGTCTGTGTAGAGGCGCGTGTGAGTTGTTGAGTTCTGTCTATCTTTGGAACGAACCCGGGCTTTTATTATTACCGGTAGGATCCCAAAACGAACGCGGGAGAAATTTTGAAAGAATACAAAAAATATCTGATTGGATGAAAAATTAACCAATCGGTGATTTTATAAC